AAAAAAAAAATGATACTCTTGAGATAAGAAATGTTCTGAAGCAAATGCATGAACCTAGAAAAAGTAGGTAGAAAATTAACACAAAAGAATAGCGAGGCTATGCATAATCTTAAAATATACATTTATATTATATCTATGAATCAGACAGTTATCTTAACTTTTTACACTCCAGGTTGCTGAAAAATGTAAATTCTGCAAACTATAAATATGTAATATTCATATAACCAGCAGTATTTAAAGAGGAAGTGCCGCCACTGGACAGTCCTGAAAGCCTAGTGACTTTTTTTAAGACATAAAAAACCTTAATACACCTTCCAGCTTGACAAAGTTGACAATGAATGTATTGTTTACAGTTGGAAAGCTTCAATGATTTAAAAGTAACTACACACCCATGCCTTTTTGAATATTCTACCTATCTGAATAGAATAAGGGCCCAACTAATCTACTGCCAATGAAGAATTTGCGCACAATTAAATAATTTATATAAATATATTATAATTTATCAGTATTTTAACTTTGGGAAGTGATACAGTGGTTAGATGAAGACCAAATACTTTATCATTGTGGGAAAGCGGGCACTGCACCCCATCACTGTTGTATACTGGAAGCCTTTGCATGACAGATCTATATTACCATGGTGATGGCTTTTAGACTTTGGGATGGGCCAGCATGAACCAACAAAAGTGAGGATTGTTTGTTGAAATTTCCTTCTTGGCAGTTCATGAAAAGAGCAATGGGAGCAATCCAGACACCACGCTAGCTCTGCAGAAACAGAGCAGCTCAGTAACTCTGTTGCTAACCACAACAATGGCAGGACAGTGATGACACCCAGCCACAGCTGAAAACAGCTGAAAACACTGGCTCTAGTCTGTGAGCCCTTATTACTTAGAAGAATGGGCACAAAACACCTCCAGAACCTCATGTAATCAAATTTAAATCTATATTCTCTGAAGCCGTACTTTTTGTAACACCATTGAAACATTAAAATAGGCAAAATGTGGCAAAAATGATCAGAAACTAGTGATCATACCATATTTCTCAATACTATTTCTAATTAGATCAAAGTACGCAACCGTATCTGGAGCTGTTGTTGCCATTTCCATCCACGCCACAGCTAGCTATTATAAAAACTCCACCTGCTCCTATAAATCAGTTATTCTGAAATGTGTCTGTTAATTTGCAAAATCTACTAGAAGCATCTGTTCATTTAATGACTTGGTGATGCAATAACATGAAAAATTACATTAAAAAAAAAATAAGCAAATTTCAGTTTTCTAAAGATTTGCAAATGTCAGCGGTACATGTAGACAAATGTATCTGCTACACACTGTTTTATGCACAAATCCTAATAATCCAGTACATTAAGAATATATAGACTTGTACTAGGCAAGTATTTGCTCTTCTGGAGAATAAGATTCAAGCACCCATATAAAAGAACAAGTAACATACCTGAATTGTAGAAACCAAAACACACAAGCAAAAAAATCTGGTAAATTATTTTGTTTTTCAATGGAGCACCCTTCTCTTCCTTCATCTTGGGTCTCAAGCTTTGTTTTCCTCCCAGACGAGCAGCATGATTTGTGCTTCTGGGCTGGACGGAGGACACAGTCATTCATTCAGGCTCTGCTGGAACTGAGTACATGTTGTTCACAAAAGCCACTGTAGAAAGAGGACAAAAGCGTGTGTGTGTGTGTGTGTGACTATAGATGGGTCTACATTTTTATTGGGAAAAACAAATTTCATATCAACAATGCTTCACTGTGGTGAGATTTCAGCGTTCATAAATTAACAAAATACAAACATTGAGATTAGGCATCCTGGACCAAACATTTATCATTGACAAAGCGCCCAATGTGTAGCCTAGACAATTTTATCCATTGTAATCTGCTTCCATCGAAACTTTTAAAGACAATGCACATATAATCTACAATCAT